TTCTTTGCATTGAATTGATCTCCTTAAAATTCTCCATCGAGAAACAAGAATGCCGAAGGCATTTTCAATTGTTCGCCTTGCTCTGGACAAGCGATAATTAAAAATTCGCTGTGAATCACTGGTCAGTGATTTTCTTGAATATGATCTCATGAGATATGATTTAAGGGGGAACGCTTCGTCTCCCACCAAAGCACAGGGCAACAGAGTCGTTGTACCAGGCAATAATTTTGGAAGTGGAATATCTCCTGTATTAGATTCCAAACTTTGACCAAGATTACTATTTGCCCATACCCCACCATCACTGTTGGGACCTGCAAAACACAATTTCAATTAACTCTTGCATTCGGTACATAAGAAGACATGCTTGAGATTTATATTATGTATATATATATATTACCATAGTCACCAACATCAATCCAGATAAATTTATAATTGGCATCACAAATTGCCATCAGTATAAAACTGAAAAATCCTTTATAATTATAATTTAAAGAATTACTGTTTGGTGGAGCTTGAATAGTGATGTGCTTTCCATCTAGTGCGCCTATACAATTAGGAAAATTCCATTTGTCCCAAAATTCATCAATCACCTTTTCCCATGTCTCTTGCGAAGGTTTCGGCAAATATCGTGCATGAAGAGCTTGCCAGATTGCATCACAAGTCTCATATATGATTTTGTATATAGTTGATTTGCCAATTCGGAAATCCCATGATTTTGATCTGGCACTGTCACCATGAGCAAGGAATCTGGAACAATAAAAAAAATACTATTCAACAAATATTCAATAATGTAAGCTAAATTAACTCAAAAAAAATATGATAAATTTCATTTACTTACAAGAGAGTCGCGGCTACTCGTTCATTCACTGAGATAGGTTTTCGTAAACTTCTCTTTGTGAGAAAAGGCCTGACAAGATGGCATAAATGATCATATTGGGCAGGTGTCATTTATGTCATTTCAAAGAATTCTTCATGATCTGTCTCATACGCATCTTTGAATTGATTATTGAAATATCCCAAATCACTTCTGGATCTATTTATTGGTTTTACCCACCATCTCCTTTTATGTCTCTTTCTCAGATATAAATATATCGATGTCAAATGCAAATATACACTCGATAAAAATAAAATGCTAAAAATTGCGCGTGAATTCATATTCATAAACGGACAGATAACCTCTCACTATCATGCACGAACTTCTGTATACTGATTGGTTATTATGTTACAACCTAGCGACTTGCGACAAACTGTGTAGACTACTGTAGACAAGCATCATGACATGCGACTCTGCGATTTTAAGACTGCAATCTAAGTTACAATACTGCGACCGCATTGTAGACCCAGCATTTAGATTATGCGAACAAATGAGAGATTCGGATGCAAAAATATCTGCTTTTATGGAAGATCAGCGGAAAACAAACAGGGAGATCAACAA